CATTACTTCAGAGGTTGCAAACTGGTCATGCATAGGTTACCTCAGGTATACAGAGTGAAAGGGAATGTGAGAGAGAGAGAGAGAGAGAGAGAGAGAGAGAGAGAGAGAGACAGGCAGTTCCCAAGCAAGATGCTTGTTGGCAGAAGCAAAGAGAGAAGTGCAAAGAAACACAAAATTAGTGAAAGTGTAAGGAGCCCTGGCAGCATAGTGGATTGTGCAACTACCAGGTCAGCAGTTCAAAACCACCAGGGGCTCTTTGGGAGAAAGATGAGGACTCCTGGTCTCGTAATGATCAGCAGTCTCGGAAACCCCAGGAGCAGCTCTATTCTGCCCAATGGGGTCGCTATAGTCAGGATCAACTGGATGGCAGTGAGGGCGGTTTTGGTTGGTACTGCGAAGTGCCCTCTGGGATTGACGCTCAACTTTGGGAAAGAGAAGACTCTTCCTTCTCCTCCCTCTCTCCTTGGTCTTTCCCTCTAGAAGCCAGAGCGTGGGGGTTACAGTTGGTACCACAGTCAGTGACAAGGGGAGGAGCAAGTGGATACAGCCCCATCCTTGTCTTGTTTGCACCGGACAATGCCATCCAGTCTGCTAGTAGTTGTTTTAACAACGGTTGGGAAGCTACCATTTCAGGGATGCTACGTGTGGCGAGCTGTCACCGTATGCTGGGGTTGACAAGGTGCCCACCTCACAGGTGCCTTACCTGCCCGGCTTTGGCATTTTCACAGACAAAAGCTTCATAGAATCTGGGGAACTCCGGAGCGTTGTCATTCACATCTAAGACTCTGATGGTGACGGGAACACTTCCAACCTGGGAGGGGTTGTCTAAAGAGAGCACACACAACAAGCAGTGTGAGGGCTCAGGCCTGTGGGCAGAGCCACGCTTTCTTGAAAGGACTTGGCAGGGCTAATACAGCAAGGATGCAGACGTCGCTTGCTCAGAGCGTGACCTGGATGTCTGCAGCCTGGGCAGTGAGGCGGCTGGGCTGGGGAGAGAGTGGCACCAGGTGTGTGAGGGGACAGTGGAGGCTGGAGAAGTAGCCTCCCCAAATGAATCTTCCAAAGGGATTCAGAATCGGTCGCTGGGCTCACACTCAGGCTGTAGGATGAAAGGCTGTCTTCTGGGCTGAAGATCAGTCCATTTGTAATCGGATGCATACCCTGTGTTGCTCTAAGCCGCATTATTGCTGTGAAGGAATCCATTTTTCCTTGAATTCTATTTAAGAAGGTTTCAGGCTAGTCACTGGAATACAGATAACACCACACGTTCCCTTTTGCCTGGGGATGTTACAGGACGGAGGGGATAAGGGATATTACAGGCTCCTGCTCCCACCAGTCCCTGGATTCTGGCAGGGGCAGAACAAGCTATTCCTTATCACTTGGAGAATTGTGGCTTTGGGGTCCAAGTCCTTTGCTTGCCCCTGTCACAAGGAGACAGTTCCACAGCCCTGTTAGTGTTCGTTGGTCACCACCATGGCCCAAAGACAAACGTGGAATTCTAAGATGTACCAATTGCTCTTCATACATAATTGTAGTAGTTCCCAGGATGGTTCATTTTTTCTTTCGCAAAAATACTTCATTTACCCTAAAGGCAGCATACTGGTAATTAAAAGGTTTCCCCCTTCATTGTAACAATGATGTTTGATGTCTGATTCAATCGATGTATGGATTGTGATAAGAGTTGTCCGAGCGCTCAACAAAATGATTAAAAAGACAACAACAATGCTGTTTGTTGACAGAAGGAATCATGGAAAGTCCAGAGAAACATTAAGTGAGTCATTATGATGTACCATACCAATACTAGAGCTTTTACATTTAACAAAACTTATACGTGTCTAAAACAAAACAAAACAAAACATGAATATACACACACAGTTAAACAAAATACAAAGCTTGCATTATTATCCTGTGTCATTGAATATACTTTGAAAGCTTAGGTATTATATGGCTATACTATAATTTAGGTAATTCTTATTATTGAGCATTTAAGTAATTCCCATTTCCCCCCTCTAATTAAATAGCAGTGCAGTAGACATTTTGGTACATACATCTTTGCTGATACCTGTGATTATCTCTTGAATACAATTACTAGCAGAATTAGTGAGAAAGTCACGTGAATATTTTGGACAATATGAATACACATTGCCAAATTACTCTCAAATGGCTATCAATATGTTAATTTGTTGGCCATTTTCTATACCTTTACCATCACTAGGTCTTATGAAAAAAAGAGCTATTTCAAAATTTGGTTGGTTTTCATTTTCCATTTCATTTGTGAGCTTATTATGTTAATAAATCTGGATGTATGTGTCCATATGTTAAGGGTCATATGTTGTAAGTGCTTTATTTCATCCAACAATATTGTTACATGATTCGTACCAATCTTATTGATAACCTCCTACATGTCTCAGGAATCCCCCTCTCCCCCTTTCCCTCATAGGAAAGTCGGACTCCCTGGGTACCACTGCTTTCTCCGACTTGTCTGCTTCTATCGCTGGCACCGGGCTCCAGGAGATGCTCAGTGAGTACGGGGACCGACGGCCACACTGAGTCAGGTAAGGTAACCCCTGACTGCCATGTCCTCTACTGAAGAACATAATTGCTGATCCAACACACTTTGGACAGTTGCAGGCACATTTGCATCGTATCGCCCGGGCTCCCATAGTACTTACTCATCTCCATGGCAAGGACAGTGATGTTGTGCCACGAAAATTCTTCCCGGTCCAGAGGCCTGGCGGTCATTAGGGCACCTGTAGTGATGTCAACATAGAAGAACCTTCCGGGGTCACTGCTTCTGTCAATGGAGTATCTGCAAACACATGGGTTCAGTAGTACACTGTGTGCACACATATGGACACCCCCCACCACGTCCCATGCCAGAGAAATGAGGGCACCCAGCCAAAATATGCTCACTGCTCTCACTTTTCTCATTCATAAAATGAACTAAACAGAGCACAAAGCAAAGACAAACAAACAACCCCCCCTACCATGCAGTTATTTAAAGATAAGAAAGCTATTACAAAAGTTATTTAAAGCTAGTTAAAGCATAAAAGCATACTTTGATCAAAAGGGGTTCTATTTGAATGAATCCTTAAAGGCTAACTAGACCCAGCAAAGGCAACTGGCAGACGTGTCATTCAGTGGTGCCCGTTAGCACCCACTGCCTTGAGTCTATTCTGACTGCTGGCTCCGACCGTGTGTGAGTCGGACTGTGCTGCGTGGGTTTCCGAGGGCAGCAGCTGTGATCTCGCAGGGTTATATCGTCAGGCCTTTCTTCTGAGGTGCCTCTGGAAGGATTCAACCCTTTGGGTGCGTAGGCACATGCTTAGCTGTTTGTGCTGCTCAGGGACTCTCATCCCTGAAAATAGTATCCCCATTTGGGGAAGGGTAGAGGAGCATCATCACCTGTTGGGCAGGGATGGCTAGGTGAACATTGGCCCTTTGTGAACACGCTTGGTCTCCTGGCAGATGTAGAAGTGATACCTGCCAGGCGGCGAGCCCTTATGTGTGGAGTGCTTTCAGGAGGTGGACTACATCTGTCGAGGTGGGGCAGAGCTTGCTGGGAAAAACAGGCTCTCTTCTGAGTGGAGCATAAGAAGGAGATCTCTTCCACAGGCAAAGTGGCTCCTTCTGTTCAGGCAGTGCACTTCGGTTACTACCTGCTCCCTTTCTCGTTCAGTCTGGACCCTGATGCCAGATAAGACGACCGGACAAACACCTGAGCCTGACAGGTGCAGAAGAACTCTCTCAGGAGGAACGCTTGCCCCATGGGGTGCTGCAGGAGTGCAGCCTCTTGATTCCTTAGTGAACTTGTCCTGGTTAAGAGCTGAGCTAACACTATGGGTTATCTCACCCGTTGCCCTTCTTGGAAGATGTAATGATTATGGAGGGATGCTCAGGCATCTGCATGTATGAGGGCTCCACAAGGGTGTCTGATAGAGAGTCATGGTTGAGAACCATTGTTGAGAGCCCGTGACCACCTCGGTAATGGGTGATCATCACAAGCCCTGTCATTTACTGACTACCAGGCACTCACCCTGTGCTGCACACCAGCTCCTTAAATCCTTACCAGCTCTCTGGGAGGGTGGTGTGTGGTGCAGTGAATGACTTCGTGTGGCCCTTCTAGCTTTAGTCTTTGTAGCCACCCACTGCCATCGAGTCGATTCCTGATTCCAACTCCTAGCTACTTTAGAGGACAGAGTGAAACTCAACTGTTTTTTAAGGTTGCCGAGATGTAAATCGCTATAGGAACAGACAGGCTCATCTTTCTTTCTCCTCTGGTGGGGCTGGTAGGTTTGTGGTGAGCAATTCAACATGTAACCACTTGTCCTATCAGGGCCCCATCGTCTTTGTAACTCCTATCAAAGGACTGGGAAGGACTATATCAACCTGAGATCCTTCTGGCCACCGAGGGGATTGGATAGTTTGCCAGCAGTATAAATGAGGTGCAGGGCATTCTTTTGGGGGCGGAAGAAGCCAAGGCCATCGGGCTTCAGCTTCCTGCTCTTACCAACCCTGCCAAGCTGCCTTGCTGACCCCTGAGATGTGTGAAGTTCTTTAAAGAACAAAATAAACATGTTCCTCTCTTCCTAAAGTTATCGGATGCTAGCTGATCATTGGCTTTTTTTAGAATACAGGCTGATAAAGTTTACTTAAAATTAACCGAATATTATTTTATTTTCTAGGTATGATTAGTGATTTGATTTTAAATGTACAGACTCTTTCAAGAAGTGAATTTTCTCTAGGCAAAGACATCAAAACTCAAACTCACTGCCAATAAGTTGATGCTGACTCACAGTGACCCCAAAGGACAAGGTAGACCTGCCCCTGTGGGTTTCGAGACTCACTCTTTATGGGGGCAGAAAGCCTCGCCTTCCTCCCTTGGAGCATTGGAGTGGCTGGTCGTTTAGAATTGCTTACCCAAATTCACAGAGACCCAAAGTTTATGCAGGGAGGGAGAAATGGTACCTGCTAAGCAGTACAGAGTCTCAGTTCCAAGTGATGAAAACATTAGGAATTGGATAGTGGTGATTGTTGCACAGCCTCTTGAATGTAGATACCCATTAGATTGTACACACAAAAGTGGTTGAAATGTTTTGTTACCTATTTCTCACCGCCATAAAAAAACAAGTTGAGTTTTCTAGTGGGGGGGGGGGGGGGGTGCGGAGAAAAATGAGGACCTAATGTCGGGGGTTTAAATGGAGAGAAACTGTTTTGAGAAACGATGTACAAATGCGCTTTACACAATTGATGTGTGTATGGATTGGGATAACAGTTGTATGAGCCCCTAATAAAATGTTAAAAAAGAAAAAAAAAATAAAAGCAGGAAAAAAAAAATTATAAAAAAAAAAAAAAAGAAAAAGAAAATGCCATTTGGCTCAGCTAGGTCCCCTCACCCAACAAAGCCCCCACCAAGTGGTTCTCGGGGCCTTACGCTGATGGCAGCTCTCCAAACGGCAGGCCCAGGGCCCAGGATGAACTTGCTCTCTACTGTGAATATCACAGATGGTGTGGGACATGGAGGCTAGAAATAACCAAGTAACAAAACCTTTGCCAGTGCTGCCTGGTGACCCTGAGTCCAAGGAAGAGTCACCTCTGTCACTGTGCTGAATGGGACTCCGGGACCAGGGTCAGGGGACAGAAGGAATGAAAGATGGAAAACGGAAAGAGAAGGCAGGACACGCTAATGAATTCCATAGGTGGTTTTCCTATCCTCACACTTAGGGTCCTCACCTCCTCTGAGCAGACAAGACTGCCTGGGGTGAGTACCACCGGTGTCTGGGGGGTGCCCTGTGTTTGCTTGGTGGAAGACATTCCAGAATTCTGAACGATTTGGAGGCAGGGTATCTTGGCAGGCATGCTAACTCCACACTTACCACGAAGAGCCGAGCTCAGGGCCCAAATAGTTCAGGCTCCTGTTGCCAGAAATTCCTTAGGCAGAGAATGGACGCATTGTGCTTTCCATATAAAAACCAAACCCACTGCCATCGAGTCAGTGCTGACCCCTGGTGACCCGCTGTGGGTTTCTGAGACTCTTAACTGTTTACCGGAATAGAAACCCCAGTTTTCTCTCTTTTTTGCTGCTGGTGGTTTTGAACTGCCAACCGTGCAGATCACAGCCCGATCCATAACCACTACAGCACCACATAACTACATCTAGAGATTTAGGTATGTACCAGTGATTGCTGCCTAGTTCATATGCTGAGCACACATGCCATCACCTTTCAAGGAACATTATAAAAGCCCTTGTGTTCTTTTTTTTTTTAAATGTTAAAAGACCTTTGATCTGTGAAACGCTCTGTTTGTGGTGCTTTATAACCAGTACAAAGTCATAGGGTTCCCTAGTGATGTGCAGGCCCCTTTTTTGGTAATGAAATGTTGAGGAGTGTATATTGTGGACAGCTGGAGTTGCATATTGTGCCCCTGCCTGAGCCCTTCTTCCTTCTAGCCATCTTGCTCTTGCCAGTTCCGCTCGCAGGGCCAAGAGCCTGGGCCCAGAGTGAGCCCAGTGTGCCCTGCCTGATCACTTTCGATTCCTCTTAATTACGTGGCATCATAGTAAGTTATATGCTGAGCTGCTAACCACAAGGTGTCAGTAGTTTGAAGCCACCAGCCGCTCTGCGGGAGAAAGAAGAGGCTTTCTACTCTGTGAAGAGTTACAGTCTTGGGAAACCCACATGGGCGACTCTGTCCTAATGCTCCCAGTTAGACTGGGCAACTAAGCTTGTCACCTGGCCCCTCTACTGCTGCCTCCCCTAGGTCTGGCTTTAAGGACCACTTTGTCCTGTGCTGAGGAGCTTCCTGGCAGCATAATGGTTATGAGCTGGGCTACGATCCACAATGTCAGTGGGTCAAAACCATGAGCCCTTGGTGGGAGAAAGCCCTTGGGGGCTTTCGACGCCTGTAAAGAGTTACAGTCTTGGAAACTCACAGGGGCACTTCTATCCTGTCCTGTAGAGTCGCTAGAAATCAGCATCCATTTCAGGGCAGTGAGTGAATGAGGGTGACCTGTGCCAAAGGCAAGAAGCTGTGCTGTCAAATCACCAATTAGTGGACTTAGGGAGAAGGAGCTTGATTCTAGTCTCGTTCGGCACCTGTCTTCCCTCCTGGATCCGATTGGGTGATAGTTCAAAGTTCTCTCCGTGGAAGAGAACCGTGTGCCGGGTCTGCCATCCCAGCAATGGGCTGAAGGTGGACAGTTCACAGGAGGTGCTTAAGAAGCAGGAAACGCCTGGCGCCGTGTTGAATGATCGAGTCCAGTGATGCACGGACTGAGGGACTGTAATCTTGATCTGGTTTAGGGAACGTGCTTGACTTCAGTGGGCTCCTCCCCTTTGAGATGGGGGCCGGAATGAGGATTGTGTGCTTGAAGACTTTCTCCTCCTCCTCTGGTGTACTCTACTGTAGTAGAGATCTGTGTTTGTGGAGAGCCTCTCTGTCTTCTGTTCTTAATCTCTGTGGCTGCAGGTTCCAGTTGCTATTAAAGTCCTACAGATCAAGCCTCGATAAGAAGAAACCCTTTTGTGTTAAAAAAGAAAAAAAGAAAAAAGTGATGGCCCAACGGGATTTCCTCATTTTGCTCCTGCAAGTAGTGGATGTGGGTCTGCTGGATTCTCATCTCATTCTTAAAGAGACTCTCAGTTTGAGATGAGAACCTTCATCTTGACTTCTCCCCAGTCCTGTGTGTGTGTGTGTGTGTGTGTGTGTGTGTTTGTTTCCTGACTTTGTTCCGCCGTCTGATTGATTGTCCTTCAGTCGTGTGACTCCTCAGTGTACATTATTAACAGTGATGCCCCTGGAAGAATCCTTGGTCAGATCTCTGGAAGGAAGATGTGGGAGCATCCATGTGGCTCCGGGGCATTTCAGAAAGACAGACGCTGATACTTTCTAAGGATGTGCTCGTCTTCTTTCAAAGAGTGTCTCCCATAAAGGTTTACCCTCGAAATGCCTCCCTTAGCTTATGCTCTGATGTGACTAAATTAAGTTGGTCAGAAGACCCGCATGTCTTGGTTCCTGAACACAGACATTTGCAATCTCCTCTGCGTCTTTGTTGCTGTGGTGGTTTTCGGGCTTTTGCTTCCCGCCCCATTTTGTACTTCAGATGCCTGTAAAGTTGTCATCAGTCATAATGGAAAGATTAGCCAAATATCAACTTACCCACAAAATCACATCAACCCTTTTAATGCCTGGAAATGTAAAATGTTTCCTGGTTGGTCCGAGGAGGCAGATTTCCCAAGAGCACTGGTGTTCTCTGGAGAGCCCCAGCCTTGCTCAATGGCACAATTGTGTTTTCATTAAATGCAAAACAGCACTAAGCGAGGGAAGTAGCCAGTGGACAGAAAAAAAGCATCGGATGAACCGGGGTGTGTTTAAAATGTGTCATGTGCACTAAAGCCCCAGCCTCATTTCACTGTGTGGCTTTCAACAATTATTGTGACAGATGGCCTCAAACAGTCTTGGATGCTTGCTCTTTTGTGTCAAGCTTCAGAGGCTTGGCAGCTGCTTGGGAAGGTGGAGGTGTCAACCTGTCCGCCAGCTGTTCGTACTTCGGGTCCAGATGATGGGAAATGGCCCTGATTTAAGAGCAGTTTCCCTCTCCCCTCTTGTAGGGGAAGCATCTTGGTTAAGGTGACCAGGTTTTAATATTGGTAAAGCGGGACAAAAGCGGGACATCATTGATAAAACTCATATCCTGGCGAAATAGCCACATGACAGCCGAAAACCATATACCCTAGCTTGTCATGCATTCTTTCCAAAAGTTGGGACTTTTAAAAAACGCCGCAGGACGCGGGAAAAATTGTTAAAAAGCAGGGCTGTCCCGCCAAAAGGGGGACATCTGGTCACCTTAATCTTGGTTGGACGCTCAGTTCAGCACATACTTTGGAAGTAGATACACCAGGGCTTATGATACTCTCTGGCCAGTCTACAGGGAATCCAAACCATTGACATCAGCTGGAGTTAAGGTTCTTTCTATTGTATGTGGTCATGCTAGTTTACCGCCACCCCCTTTTTTTCCTTTTTAAGCAGACAGTGTCAAAGGTTCATAAAAGTTGAGAGAAGACACAACAGTCATCTTTATTTCACCACTACGATTCAACAATGCTGTTTTGACATTTGTGTGTGTGCCTATGCATTCATTAAAATGGTGGGTTTCAACCAGGGGCAATTTAAGCGACCTCCCAGGAATATGTGTGGCAATATTTGGGAGCATTTTACCTTGTTACAACTCAGGGAGAGTTAGTGATATTGAATGAGTAGAAGTGGGAGGTGCCGCAGAGCATCTTATAATGCACAGGGCAGCCTTGCGAGGATGCATTTTTCAGTTCCCAGCCCAACAGGTCCGTCATACTGCGGTAGAGCTCTACTGAAGGAACTCAGCAGTCACTTCAGAGTGTCTCCATAGATGGGCTAGGAGAGGAAGATGCAGAAGGAAAAGGAGGCTGCTTTCCTCTCTCACACACAAGGCAACCCTGAGGGATATAGGGAAAAGGTGAGATCTCTATACAGACCTGATTGAATTGTTGGTCACATCTGGGTCCTTGGCCGAAATGATCTGGATGGTAGTGCCAATGGCCACATCCTCAGGTACCTCCACAAAATAAAAGCCAGGCTCAAAGATGGGGGGCTCGTCCACATCTTCCACGCTGATGTGCACTGTCGTTGTGTCCTGAAATGGGCCCAAGTTCAGAAAACGCATCTCCAGGTGAGAGTTGGCTCCCTCCACTTTTAAGGTGTAGCTTTTCTTGCTTTCAAAGCTCAGAGGCTGAGAAGAAATGAAGGAAAATGGATGAAATATCAGCATATATGTCAGGCTGATTCCTGAATTCATTAAAATGCTAGAAAAGAGGTCAGGGGAATTTTTCTCTTGTTCTACAGTTTTTACTATTAATATCAGTTTCAACACCTTGTGAAAAGGGTAAAGAAGATGCTAGAGGCTTTAGAGATAGTTAAGAAATCCATTTTGGTGGTTGACAAAGCCATTGTACTCTGGTCAACGTGGCTTTAATGTGTTTAGTCTTGAGTCAACATGACTTTTAGATCAGGTCCCATGAACTCCCTCACTACAGATCCTGGTTTGTCTGAGATTGTCTCCGTTGGAAAGCTGGAAGTCTTATGTCATGGAAAACTTATTCAACTAGGGTGACTGGCCATGTAATCTTTAGAAATGCTTAGGCATTTGAAAAGATGTCACGATAATTATTCCACTTGAATTTAAAGACCATCTCATGTCTAACACTAGTAACTGTCAAGTTGTGGGATAACATTAAGGACAACATTGATCTGAACCCCTTCCTCACACCATACACTGAACATAATTTGAATTAGATTGTAGACTCAAAGCCAGAAAGCTTCCAATAAAAAGATATGATGGCATATATTCACCACATAGAAAAAGCATACATCATGAAAAAATAAAAAAACAATGAAGGACATCAGAGGGCATTTAAAAGACAGGAGAGATCCGTATAGCTATCAGGAGAGATTCTGAAACTTGCTCTTCAACATAGTAGCAGCTAAAGTGAGTGGGAGAAAGGCTGATGTCAAAGAACTGAAGAGAACATTTCTAAGAGTGGCTCCAGAAGACGGTGCCTTGTGCTGAAATGTCTAAGGACCTGGAGCCAGAAAGCCCCGAAGGAAGAACATGCTCAGGATTTCTCAAACTGAAAGAACTGAAGAGAAAACCTGAAGCCTTGAGTTGAAATATGGAAAGATTCAATGGGCAAGATATTGAATGATGCTGGAAACATCAAAGGAAGATGGAAGGAATACTTAGAGACAGTGTACCAAGAATCATTGATGTTCATCCATTAAAGGAGGCGGCATATGACCAGGAGCTGGGGATCTTGGAGGAAGAAGTCTGAGCTGTTCTGAAAGCATTGATGAAAAACTATGTTTCAACAAATGGATGCAGGGCTGGAAACTCCCACTCCTCTATGCCAAGAAGTTTGGAAAACAGCTACCTGGGCATCCAACTGGAAAAGATCCATATTCGTGCCCTTTTCAAACAAAGGTGATCCAATGGAGTTATCAAAGAATGTCAGCTATCACATGAAAGTAAAATGAAGATAAAACAAAACTGAATACATCAACAGGGAACTGCCAAAAATTCAAGCTGGATTCAGAAGATGTGGCATTAGGGCTATCATCACCGATGTCCGATGGATCTTGGCTAAAATCAGAGAACACTAGAAAGATGTTTACCTGTGGGGTTTTTTTTTTAATGAGGGAAAGCATTCAACTAAGTGGATCATTATAAATTATGGATAACATTGGGAAAAATGTGAGTTCCAGAACACTCAATTGTGGTCCTATGGAACCCTTATTGAGAACAGAATCGGGACACGATGTGGCCGAACATCAGGGAAGGTGTGCGTCAGGGTTGTATCCATTCACCAGACTTATTCAGTGTGTATACTGAGCTGTAGTCTAAGATGCTGGCATATATAAAGAAAAATGTAGCATTAATATCTGAGGAAAATGTAGCATTAAGATCTAAGACCCAGTAACATACTGCAATAGGCAGATGGCACAATCTTGGGTATGGCAAGTGAAGAGAACTTGAAGCATTTATTGATAAAGTTCCAAGACTACAGCCACTGGGAAGGATGACACCTCAACATAATGCAAACATGCCGACACACGGACCAAGCAGCCATACCACGCTCCGTGGAGAAAAGGCTGGCGTTGTCAAGAATTCCATTTTAGTTGCATCTACGGTCAACATCCACGGAAGCAGCAGTCGAGATATCAAAGGATGAATTGGATACATTGGCTGCAAAAACCAAAAACAAACAAAAAAACTCCTCAAAGTGTTAAAAGAGCAAACATGTCACTTTGCGGAAAGGTGCACCCGACCCCAGCCGGGGCATTGTCAGCCACCGCCTCTGAAGTGAAAGCTGGGCGGTGACTAAGGACGACCAAGGAACGGTGCCTTTGAATCGTGGCATTGGATGGAATATGCCATGGCCTGCCGGAAGAACGAACATTTTCATCTTCGGAGAAGTTCAGCCAGAATGCTCCTTAGAAGTGAGGATGTGGAAACTCTGTCTCACCCACTTTGGACCACCTTTTCAGGGGGGACTAGTCCTTGGAGGAGGACAGCATGCTGGGTCAAGCAGAGCAAGGAAGAGGAAGAACCTCAGTGAGATGGATGGACACAGACGGTAACAATCCTCCCATCCACCGCAACGGTTGTGGGGATGGCACGGGACCTGGTGCCATTTCATTCTGTCTCACTCTGAGTTGGCGCTTTCTTGACAGCTCCTAACATCACGACCAGTCTATTCTTTTATAAATCATTTTTATTGGGGCTCTTACAGCTCTTGTAACAACCCATGCATCAAGCATATTTGTATGTAAGTTGCCATTATTATTGTCAAAACATTTTCTCTCTACTTGAGCCCTTGGTATCAGTTCCTCCTTTTCCCCTCCCTCCCTCACCACCCTGGTGATAAATTATAAATTATTGTTTTCATATCTTACACCGTCCGCTGTCTCCATTCTGTTCTGGAATATCCATGCACCTTTCCCAGGACTTACAGGGGAAAGTAACTGCTTCTTCCATCCTGTTCGCCAAGGGCCTTCTCTTTCTTTGAGTGTTTTGTTCAACAGGCCTTACCAGGTTTCTTCGATGTAATTTTCATGGTTTTCCCCCTGTAATGGTTTCTTACCCAGGACAAAGGCAGGAGTGATACCTTCTTAGGGATTATTATAGCACTCTGTTAGGGTTCACAGGATACTGGGTCAGAGCGGTCTTCCCCATTGTTTAAGTGCCTCAGCGATGGTTCTGTTTTAAAACCCACTGCACCATCCCATTTTACAGTTGAACAAACGGAGCCCTACACTCCCCAGAAGACTAAGCTTCCATGGCGCCTCAGTGTGTGAGCTGGAATACTGGTTTAAATGATTCAGTGCCTTATCAAGGGCTCTTTGCCAAGACTTCAACTAAAATTCCATCATAAAATACAGTTTTTGCCAGTTCCCTTTTTTGACCTCTCTTTCCCATTCAGAATGTTTTATTTCAAGATAAATATAGCACTTCAGGAAGAAAGTGGACATTAAGTGGTGTTTCTAAATGATAATCTGCTTTTTTGAAGCTGACAAAAATATTTTAAAATGTTTTATACAATAGTTACTTCAAAGCATTCTCAACAATAAAGAAAGAAATTAAGTCTGTAAAATGCATACAGTAGACAGCGGAGCAATTTTACTAAAGCTTAAAAGTCCTGTGTCAACACGTTGCTGACAGTTATTTTTCCAGGTTAACATGCACTCAGTCGTTTTTCATGCCACATGCTGAATTTTATGTTAGAAACAAGCCTATGTCCATGAAAGCAATGGCTTTGCTTTTGAGAAATAAACTGAAGTCGGTAGTGCTTTAACTAAGTTTAATGTGCTAAAATGTTAACCAAGTTCTTTTGAATGCTTTTGCTACTCGGCTTCCACCTGTCCAGCGTTTATTTAGTGCTGGGCCTTGTGCTGCAGGTTTTATTTCCACCATTTTATTTGTCTTTGTAAAGGCTGTGAGGAAAACGATTCATTTATTTAAGGTCACATAAGGTAGTAAGTAATGGAGCCACAAGTCAGTTCCAGGTTGGTCTGGCGCAAAATTGTTTGCTTCTAACCTTAACAAGCTTGCTTCGGCTACCAGAGATGTCCTGACCTGGTGAAGAATGGCGGGATTGGTGATGCTTTCTAATGGCCACGCTTAGCTAGAGCAAGCCACCCTCACAGCAAGCTTGCAAGCGAGCTTCATCTTTGGGGGCTGCTGCTGGCATGATGCACAGACAGACTTCAAGCCCAAGCCAGGCGCTCCTTCAAACCCATTTCCACCGGCCACATTTTCACAAATGGAAATGTCATTTAGATTATATGATTGAAGGAATAATTGCACCGGTTTCTTTTACTTATACTTGTTTTCTAAATCTAGAAAACTCTTTAGGAAAATTTTACATAGGTACCTCTCTCCTTTTAGAAATTGTTATTTCCTGGTTGTATGAACACATATATAGCAAACATACACCAATTCAATGATTTCTACATGTCCACGTCCGATTCAGTGACGTGGATTATATTCTCTGAGTTGTACAACCGACTCTCTCCTTTTCTGAGTTGTTCCTCCATTTATGTAAGCTCAGGAGCCCTGGGTTCCCATCTCCTCTTTGGAGTTGCTGTGGTCTATTTTTGTGTGTGTGTCTGTGTATTTAAAGCCTATTGCTCAAGGTGCTCTTTACTAGTTAAGCTAAACTATGGTTTTAAGATGTCAGGGAATATTTTGGTTTAAGGTTTAAGAATGATCTCAGGCCAATAGCCTCAGGGTTCATCCAACCTCCAAGATTCCAGAAAGTCTGGAATCTATGAGTATTTGAAATCATGTTCGACGTTTCTCCTCTCTTGATCAGACAAGATGAGTAGACACAGTGGCTGCAACAAGGGGCGTGAGCAGAAGAAAAGTTGTGAGGCTGGCGCAGGACCAGGCGGTGTTTTATTCCGTTGTGCACAGGGTCACTGTGGGTCAGAAGTGCCTCAATGGCACACAACGGCAATGTGGCAACAAAACACCAACGACGACGACGACGGTAGTCTCAAATATTTTTTTTCCTGATAGTTTCTTCTATAAATTTGAAAGTTTTAGTTTTTACATTGAGATGTATTATCCATTCTGAGTTTATTCTTGTGAGGTGAAGCTCATTTTATACACATGCCAACTTTTTCAGTACCATCTGCTGAAAAGATGAGACTTTTTAATTACTACAGAGATTT